ATGTTTTGGGTGATTTTTGAAATTTTTTTTAATTTTTCGAATATCCTAACTTCACATGTCATGTGGTCAGATGGTGAAACATTTTGATGAAAATCTTTGGAAATAAATTCAAAAATGCAACTTTTCTGCATGTTTCTCATCAAAATAAATCATTTTGAAAAACATTTTTGAATTTTTTTTTTCCGAATCTCCTACTTCACGTGTCATGTGGTCAGATGGTGAAACATTTTTATGAAAATTTTTGGAAATAAATTCAAAATTTTATCTTTTCTGCATGTTTCTCATCAAAATAAATCATTTTGAAAAAATCTTAAGAATTTTTTTTATTTTTTCGAATGAGTTCTTACTTCACGTGTCATGTGATCAGATGGTGAAACATTTTGATGAAAACTTTTTAAAAAATAAATTCAAAATGTTAACTTTTCTGCATTTTTCCTAATCAAAATAAATAATTTTGAAAAAAATGTTAGAATTTTTTTTTTAATTTTTCAAAAGAGTCCTAACTTCACATGTCATGTGGTCAGATTGTGAAAAAAATATTGATGATTTTTGAAAAAATAAATTCAAAAATCTTTTCTGCATGTTTCTCATCAAAATAAATCATTTTGAGAAATTTTAGAAATTTTTCAGAAAAGTCCTAACTTCACGTGTCATGTAGTTAGATGGTGAAAAATGTTCATGAAATTTAAAAAAAATATATTTAAAATTTGATCTTTTCTGCCTGTTTCTCATTTGATTAAACCTATTTTAGACCTTTTTTTAGATTTGTTTAATTTTCTTGGTACAATCCTAATTTTGTATGACGGTCAAATTGTGCAAATAAATTATGAAAATTGAAAAAAAAAAACTTTTTATTTGTTTCTAAAAAAATTAGAGTAGTTTTAGAAGTTTTAGGGTTTTTTTTCAGTAAAATCCTTTTTCCATGTTTCTCATTAAATTAAAGCATTTTGGGAAATTTTCTCATAAAGTTAGATCACTTTAAGAAATTTCGTATAAAAGCATTTTTTTTTTTTAATTTTTTGGTAAAGTCCTAATTTCACATCATGGTCAGATGGTGAAAAAGAAAACTTTTTTTTTTATTCAAAATGTTACCTTTTCTGCATGTTTCTCATTAAATTAGAGCCTTTTTAGAATTGTTTTCGACTTTTTCAGTAAAATTCTAATTTCACATGTCATGGTTAGACATTAAAAATAGATGAACATTTTTCTAGAAAATTATTTTAAAAATGTATCTTTTCTGTATGTTTTCCATTAAATCAGAGCATTTGAAAAAACAATTGGAAAAAAAATCGAAATTCTTCGGCAAAATTCTAATTTAGCGTGTCATTTTGCGTCACATGGTGAAAAAAATATGATGAAAATTTTTGAAAGAAAAAAATTCAAATTTTTACCTTGTCTGCGTGTTTCTCATCAAATGAGTTGTTGTGTTTGCCAATGGACCTTTGCTGTGGTTTACTGGAGAGTGAGAAAAACAATCAGTGTAACTTTGTTTTCCTGTCTGCAAGTCCGCCCGAGAGGAAGCTCAAAAACGGCGCACATACTCTAATATAGCGTACATTTAAACTGACGTGATTTCTTTCAGGTTTGCATATTCGTACGTGGCTAAAATAAATAAAATAATCACACAGAGTCCTTACTTACGTGAGCTGTTCATATAAAACTTACCGTTCATTGTGCAATTTCAGATGTCGAACGAAGTTGGAAGTTGTTGCGTCTCCGTCTGATATCCTCTCGTTGACCACATCGTAGTTTTTACAGCCGAATGAAAACACCTCTGGTACCATTTTTCAGGCGAACGGACATGTTGTTTGACAGGTCCCTTTCCATTCAATATCCTGCAATACGATTGGACTGATCTGTCGAAGCAAAGCAACATCTGATTTGATTGGTTGTTGTGGACAGCACGTGCACAGACGCGCCGATATACACAATGAAAGATACAGAGGCCAGAGGATTTTCATCAAAAGGTCAAAAACGCTCACGTTATGTCACGAGTCACTGATGTTAAAGTCCAAGTCGAGCTGCAAGTCTCTTTACTCTATGTCAAGTCGAGTCGAAGTCATGTGACTCGAGTGTACACATCCGTAAAGAATACACGCCCCCTTCTATTCTTTCCAACTGCGTTGGCCAAAATGACTCGGAAGAATAACTGAAACTAACGTCTGAATTGGTTCTCTAACGTTCTAATGTTTTAATTTACGTTCTCTCATGTCCAGGTGAATTCCATCAGCGCCCTCTGTTGCACATTTGCGTGATTGCAATAGGCAAAAAGACATAAAACTTGGTTTATGAATTTGTTTATTAATGATTTATTTTTTCATAAGAACTTGGTACAAAAAAGTGAGACTACTCTTAAACCATTAACCATCTTCCATCAATCTTTTTTTTTTTAATTTCAATGCATCTTTGTAAAGAACAAAAAAAAACTAAGTTGGCATATTTAAGACAAACACTTTCCTATACACACAATGAACTGGACAATTCCCGCATTGACCACGAACAAAAACTTCTACTTTCACAAACATTTTCTTTCCATCTAAAAATGTCCACGTTACGTCCTGGCTGTCGCCCCCTGGTAACAAATAACACAAATGTCAGAATGCAGAACCAATTAAAAGTTCTGTTTCCTTCAGACTTGCTTTCTTTTTTTTGCTCATTGAGAAATTATTAAAAAAAAGATTTAAAAAAAAAATGGTCAAACATTTTTTTCACACTTGTTCAAAGGTCATGTAGTGTATTAAAATAGATCTGTTTAAGCGCTGCACAGTTTCTCCCGGAGAAGATTCTAGAAACAGATGAAGAGATTTAGGCTTCGGGGTGTGTCTATTTTTTTACAACATTTCTTTAAGGTAAGGCGGATTTTTAACAAAACGTGATAAAATGATATGGTTTTCCTCATAGTTATAATATGCATCACAAGGTGTCAGACTTGATGGTTTTGTTCATGGATGAGTATCAGCGCAGTAGAACTGCGGCCATTTGAGATTATTTTTCAGTCCAAAATTGTCCGAATGTTTTTAAAAATAAAGGTCAAACTCCATACAGAGACACCAGCTGTTAAAGCCAGGAATCAAACAAGTGACCTTCTTTCTGTGAAGCCACTGCACATACCACTCTGACACAGTGTTACCCAGTAAAAGGTGTTAGTATTTTTTCGTTACTTTACAAACCGCACAAAAGTTTAACATAAGAAATTGAACGACATATTGATATTTATAGTACGTTGACAATTTGTTAATGGGATGTGTTTGGACTGAATACATCACAGGTCAAACTGTGCTGATATGACAAAAACAAACATCTTACCTTATCAACTCTAATCTGTCTCAGACTTGGCGTTACGTCTAACTTTATGCAGATGATACTATTCTGTATCAATACATTATATTTAATGCCGATGTCATAGTTTTTGATCTTTGTGTTGCATTTCATGAAACGTCACAATTTTGATTCAGTGTAATTTCATACAGATGATACAATTCTGTAAATTTGATACTTCACCAAACAAACATGTCCAACCTGATATGAATAAAAAAAAATCATCTCAGCAGTTCCAACGTCACATTTTTCTCGTTTCTTCTCTCCTCGTCCCTTATTATAAAGGCATTTATTGTTTGTTTGTTTTTTCTTTTCTTTTCTCAGAAATATTTTAACTTTTTTGTTCGTGTTTGTGCATTAACAGTAGGTGCAGCTTCACCCTGTTGTGGCAATTTAAACTACTTAAAAAAAAACTAAATTTACATTTTTGTAAAGCATTTGAATGGAACCTCACTGGACCGGCAGGAAGACTAGCGAGATAAATCCCCAATTTTTGCAACAAGATGGCCGTTTCCCTGTAATCCACAGACAGTTAAAAAGCTTTGTTGTCATTTTTCAGAGTTGTTCCATATTCAGATGAATGGCTTCTAGAAAAATGATGCAAAGAATAAAAAAAAACCCTGGATATGAAAGGATTTGTACTTGAGGCAGTGTTACTCTGTCATTAACAGGCTCATCAGCGGTGACACATTTTTAAAAAATGTTTACAAAAGCTCTGATGCTAAAATATCAAAACAGGCAGGGTGAAGAACCAAAGTAGGAGAGACATAACTGATAGATGAACATAAATCCCAGTAGAAAAACAAAGAGTTTTTGGCATTTTATACACTGGTTAGTTCAAGGTCACACGATGCACGAGGCTCTAAGTTCAGCTGCAAACAAACTAACCTGTCGTTTTGTCTGTTTTTCAACCTTCACTTTTTCTCAAACAAGAATATGATGGCGTTTTTTAAATTTTCAATTCCAAGAATCAGTAGCTTGTTACCAAAAGACAAACATTGTTTAAACTAGATTTTAAGTGTTTGTGACTATTAAAGTCAAATGATAAAAAAATAAAAAAGTTATATATTTTTTTTCAAATAAAAAATAAAATAAATACACATACTAAAATAAAAACAAATAAATGGCCACTTCTAATCTAAAATTATTATTTTTTGATGTATTAAACGGATAAATAAAAATGTTAATATTTTAGTTCATTTGAAACTTTTCGATCATATTCTTGTTTAAGCATCAGCTTCACATATGTCGACCAATAAAAACCTGCAATGGTATCATTAATAATCATTAATGATAATGATAATAATAATAATAATAATAATAATAATACAGCATATGTACAATGATCCCTTGAATACTCACATTTATCAACAGGCATCAGCATGAAAATACTAGACTCTCCACTAAAAAGGCTACTTTTCTGTAGTTTTCCTCTTAAATACTTTTTTCTTTGACTCTATTAATACTGAAAAAATTCTCTGTTTTTTGTTTGAAGGCTCGAACGCGATGAAAAAACATCTTCCTGAATCGTTTTTTTATGGCAGAAACAGAAACAAATAAAAACATCTAGGTCACCTACGGCTAACTCTACCTCGCTTATTCGCTCCCCTCTTTTTATTGAGAAAGAAAGAAAAAAAAGAAAATCTGTTTCTACGATGTCATAAATACATTAAGGCCAAGAATGTTCATAAAAATAACGAATAGAAAAAGAACGTTTAAAAAAAGAGAAAAAAAAAACTAATTAAGCACTGAAGGTGTCGACTTCTTTTTAAAAAAAATACTGGACTTGCTTAGATGCTCCGTCTCAGTTCCTTACCATTTAAAAAAAAAACAAAAAAAAAACGTAGTGGGTGGGATTAGTTGTTCACGGTGTCCTGGCTGTGGGTGTGACTCATCTGTGGGGGCGTGGTCAAAACACCCGGGACGGTGGAGATGATGGCATTGGTGCTGGTGGTTTTTGAGAGGAGGGCTGCAGCAGCGGTGCTGATGGTGGCCGTGGTCGTCATGGTGACCTGGATCAGCTGATCACGTTGGATGAGGCGGATCAGAGCCTTGAGGCGCTCCAGTGACGACTGCGTGTCTCTCTGCTGACCGAGGAGATGATCCTGCACGTCCTGGCATTTCTGCAGAAGAAAAGGGGCTGAGATGACTTCCTGTCTGTGGCTGAGTGACAGTCACTTACACAAACAGACCTGGTCAGGACAAACTCGCAGTAGTAGCAAGGAACTATTTTTTCTTTACTTTATTTAGCTAACATTTAGCCTTTAACGTTTCACTATTTCCGCTGTACATTTTGCAGTCCTCTAACCAGTATCTGGAATAACTTAGACAGCTGTGTGTGTGTGTGTGTGTGTGTCCTACTTTAATAGTCTGGTTCAGCTCTCTGTCCTGCTCCTCCAGATGAGCGCGAGCTTTCTTTAGCTCGTTGTTTCGTCTCATGAGTCGTCTTCTCTCTTCCTGTCTCACTGTAAACACAAACAACAACAAGTAAACCAGGGGTGTCAAACTCATTTTGGTTGACGGGCCAAATACAGCCTAATTAAGAGGTCAAGTGGGCCGGACCAGTACAATCATAACAGTACCATGTGTATTTTTTTATTTTCAAAATTTATCAAGCTGGTCAGTTTTGGCCCACGGGCCGTATGTTTGGCAGCCCTGAAATAAATATTCTATATTTATGTAAATGAGACTGCATTTTATTACAATTTTGACATTTAACCGTTCACTCCCCGATTAATAATAGACAAAATGATGCTAATGTTAGCTGTTCAAATGCTAACTTTAAGCTTTTTGATTCATTCACTTTGTGTCCTGCTAAATGATAAACTTCTGAGCTGGACTTTGTTTCCAAAGGGATAACTTTGTGATAGCTCTCCCTCCCTCTCTCTCTCTCTCTCAGGCACAAACACACACACACTTTTCTCACCTGTCTTGTGCGTCACGTACGACTGAACAAAGTTCTGCGGCCATGACATATTTTCTTTGTTTAACACCTGAAAAAACAAAACACTATAACGTTGAGTTTGCCGTCACTAATAATCTACGCCCACGACAACAGCGACTGCATTACCTTCTTCTGGCACTTGGGGCAGTACCAGGCACCTCTAGGTGGAGTTTTGAGGGGCGGGTACAGGCAATTGGGGTGGAAGGCTCGGGGGCAATTGTGGCACGGTTGAAGCTCTCCGTCTTCTTTACAGACAGCGCAGTGGTCGTCATGCTCCACTTCCTCCTGACGAGAAAATCAAACATAGATTAGAACAGTTTATATCAGGGTCAGAGGTTAGGGGGCTTAAACATTCACAAAAATCAAATATAATGTTAAAGATTTAATAAGAGAACATATTATATTGTAATTTGTTCTAAACATTAAACTTATAACAGACTAACAGACTATTGTGTAATACATTACATAATAATCTGTAGTAATGTCTGTAATGTAAGTTTTGTTGTGTAGTAAATACTTTGTATATTTTTTATTCGAACGATTTCAAAATAAGAGCGTTTCGGCCAGACGTGTCATGTGACCTACCTTCCAGCAGAGGTCCTCAGTGTCTGCGTATGAATGGAAGCAGAGCAGAGTTAGTGGCAACAGACAGTGAAAGGTTAACGGTGAAGACGAGCAGCAGGAAAAACAGCAGCAAGACAAAGAGAATGACAACGTCACTTTACGTGCGATTGGGCAGACATTTAGAAGCCACGCCCCCTACAGCCAGAAGCCATGCTTTACAACGCTCTAAGCTGCATGCAGCCTGGTTAGTAACAGGTGATCCATGTATTATTTTTGTAATAACAAAAAAAAAAAACAACAACTTTAAATTAAAGAAAAAAATAAATATATTTTTGAATTCCATTTCCCCTCTAGACCAATGTCCTACAGTGTAACAATTTGATTTATCTGGTAAGAATTTAAACCAAACTGACTTCTTTTAAGATTAAAAAAACTGACGTCCTACCTTGTGCAGACAGGAAGAGGGAGCTGTTCAGGTAATAGGAGGGTAGGCGTTTACGCTGCAGAGATGATACAGAGGTCAACGTCAATACTACTCTTTTTATAAAACATAAGGACAGTGATATTGTTTCAGGTAGAAGATCTGGTGAGGGTCCAACCTCTGGTTCAAAGAGGCCGCTGTACGCTGGGTTTGCTGTGCTTCGTCTCTTCCTTTCCTGTCTTTTCTGCTGGATTTCTGTACAGACCAACCACAACTTCAGTCCACTCACATGTTGATCTGTATTAAAGACACTGTAGGAACGTTTAGAACTCACCTTCCATGTGTTCTGTGGTGACCAGGCCCAGGGCCACCATGAAGGCCATTTTCTAAAATATACACAAAAGAAAATAACCAGTCAGAGTTCAAGGAGATTTATTACACTTTGAAAAATGTTTGGGCCACGCCCAGCCCTTCAAGTCACTGTATGTAAGAGCCTTAAGGCTACAAAAAAACAAAACAAATAAAACTTTTATTTTGAAGGAGAAAACTTTAGTTTGAATGTTTGTTTGTTATCCTGGTTATTTAAAGGGTTTTTTTGTGTCTTTCTCCGTTCAATTGTCTACTAATATCATTTAGAATAAATTCTCTTCTGGATTCTGTGCTGCTGGATTTTATTTCCTCAGACTGGTGATACTGGGAAAAACAAGTGATTTCAGAGGTGGTAACAACTGTATAAGGTGAAAGAACCAGGGCATCATAGCAGCGATCGTCGACACTACGCTAATTGTTGAATTATGATAAAATTTTAAAAGAAAACTTTTTTTAGGCTTCTGTTAAGTATTGAAGTCTCAATTACATTATTTTTAAAATAATAAAGTAAGTATTTAAAACAATTAAATTGGTAAAAAAATTTTTTTTGTACTGTGTCACACAGCGGCCCGGTACCTGTCCACAAACCAGGGGTTGGGCATCCGTGCCTTATAGTAAGGACTTTTGGCTTTTTTTGTAGCTTCACACTGTAACATGATCTTTAAGCAGAGTCTTAGAGCTCCACCTTCTGGCTCATTAAGATCGTGTGTCGTTCCCTCACCTCTGGGTCCTCGTCTTTCTTCTTGGTGGGAGATTTGGGAGTGGGCGGGGCCTCCTGTGACGGCAGGTCAGCCTGGACACTTGGTGACACCTCGCTGCTGCTGGGAGTCTGTGGCTGGATGATGATGACCTGAAAATACGATACAAAACGTTTTAACAATGACAACTGTTTTTTTATTTATTAATCTATGTCATAATCTGCTCTGAATATTTAAATACATTTTTATTTTAGATCAAATAGATTGAAATGGCATCACATGTCTTCACCAGAAGAAGCTGTAACTCTGGTTTAATAATAATCATATATCTACTGATGTTCTCAGACAACTATACAAGTTTTCGATATGTTAGTGCTATTCGATACATTTTTATTCCATCAACTTCTTTTTCTATCACTAGCCTTGTTGTCCGCGCTGAAGAGCAGCGGCTGCACCTTGACGGCCTCGCTGACGGCGGACACGCCGTTGCCCGAGGTAGGTGACGCAGCGATGATGGCGTACGCCACTCCTTGTCCAGCGGAGGCGTGCTGCACGAGGTTGCCGGAGCTTACGCCCCCTGTGGGGCCGTGTGTAGAAACTGGCGCCGAGTTTTCGCTCTGCCCGTTGGGCTGGTGGTCTGTATTAAAGGTGCTGTTGGAGGTGGGCAGGGTGGCACCCTGGCTCTTGGGGCTGACCACAGCAGTGGCCCTCTGCAGGCGGAGAGGCTGAAGTTCCTGACATGGACTGTGGGGGAGGCTGTCTGGGATCTGGGTCTTTGGCCTGACCTGGGGGACAGAGGTGGGCAGAGTCAGGACCACATCCACAGGAATGGGTTTCTGGGTCCAAAGATGGACGACAAAAAGTGGTGCTGTTAGAGAGATGACGGGTGAGGACATTGAGGACATTGAGGACACTGTACCTGAGGTAGCAGTGTGGCTGCCTGTCCCTCCAGCTGGTGCAGGGAGCTGACCTGAGGCACCTTGATGGGCACAGCAGTGAGAGTTCCCAGCATCTGTGATGAAACACACGTAAACACAAGCGCACAGTTAAAACAGGAGTGCAGTGGTTTGGTGAACACCTCCTGTTTACTGGTCGATGTTGTTATTTACTCAGACGTAGGGAAAACATTTTCCTCCTGGATGAGAAATGTTCCATCCTCTGTTTCTCAGCTGACCGTGAAGGAAACTTTTCACCCTCCCCCCCCCCCCCCCCCCCTTGCCATGCTCCTGTACCTAGTCTTTTTCCTCCTCCACACACCCCTCCCCCTCTCCTTCATTTCTGAGTATTGTGCTGCAGAGCAACTCAGAGGCCTGTTTCCATGGAAACTGCCAGGATGAAAATTCTTGCAGTCATTTCCGTAATTGCTGCTGCTTTTTTTTTTTCTTTTGCAGAACCTTAGCACTTTCTCTTTCTGAATGGAAAAAAAAGGAGAGGGAAGGAGTATGAGGAGGATGAGGAGGATGAGGAGGGGGGGTCCTCTTCTTCTCCTGCTGTTTTTTTTTTTCTCTTCTATGGTCAGTGAAGGTAACGCAGCAAAATAGAAACATCGATTTCCTGTTGTTTTAAAATACAGCTTCTCTCTCTGTTTGGGGGGGAAAACAGCACAAAACATATTTAACAGCTCTGCAGCAACACTCTGACACACACACACACACACACACACACACACACACACAGAGTCCTGTTGTGATAAACTGAGGTGCGTGAAAGCCGGTGGTTGTTCGACTTTGTTTCCGTGGAGACAACAACTGGTTTCACACGGAAAACAAAGGTGAAACATGAGACTGGATTAGCACTCTTTTGTAGTTTTTTTTTTAAGTCATTAAATTAAATTCAAGCGATTAGGTTTTTATCAACTGTCGCAGCTTCTTTTGTGTAGTTTGAGTCTGAAAGTGAAATCATAATGGTTTGAGGATAAACAATCAAACAGGCTAACACGTAAAGATTCGTACTCAATGCTAACTTTTTTTTTTTGGAAATGCTAACAGTTAGTCAACAAAAAGAAATAAAATCATAGCACATGGAAGTGGTGTAACCACTGATGCCTCCAGTGTTCATTATTGGTACTGTCACACTAACATAGGTAGAAGAAGAAGGTGAAGGTTACCAACCTCAGTGTCCTGTAAGAAACTCAGTCGAGTGTCTTAGAAAAACAATCCACGGCCGAGGTGACTGTGGCAGAAACATACTGGACTAGGTTATTTTATTTGACTTATTCCTAGTACAGTTGTGTGTGTGTGTGTGTGTGTGTCACCTTCACCTTCTTGCTGACATTTAAATAAAAGGTTGCGAAACTCTGGAGCCTGGAACAAAGCAGCTGTAACGTGTTCACTCATGCAGAGGCGTGAACCCATTACAGCTCATTATTGATCCTCAAATTAACGGCCAGGTGGTGGAAAAGGACGTCCAACTTCCCCTCCCAGTAACTGACACACACACAAAGCTTTTCTCTAACTCTGGACTGGACTGGAGTGTAAAAAGCATGGACTCCAGCAGTTGTGTAAAGAGCTGCTTCATTCTCACTCACACAATACGATCATAAAGAGCTGCTTTTACTGCCCCACCCTCTCGCCCATCACCCACCCAATAACCAGCAACACCAACACCACCCCCCTGCCCCCCACCAGGAGGACTGAGGCCGAGGAGAAAGAGAGTAAAATTTAGCCTTCAACAAGATGAGGCACTCTGTGACACCCGCAGAGTTCAGCCAATCACAGACAGCTGAGCTGAAAACTGGAGAAGAATCCACAAAGCACCACGCTCAGTTTAAAGCCCGGCTCAGTGAGTATTAGTTAGAAAGCTTGTTTACTCCTTTGCACAAACACGTCAACCCACACCTCAAAAACACACAGAAGTGAACTGTTTGGTAAAACGATGTCCATGAATTGAACACATTCTTATGGATTGACAACATTTCTTTGTTGTTTTATGGACTGATGTTTATTTACCTTTTGTGGACACACTTTTAGTTATCTTTTGGATTCATACATTTTAACTTTTTTTTTACTAACTTTTAATTATGTTTGGTAAATATTTTAATATGATTAATTTAGACTATTTTTTAAATTATTTTGACCTTTTGGAGGGCTGTTTTTTTGTAGTATTTATTTCTTTCTATCTTCATTTTATTTGCTTAAAAAAAGTTGTAAATTGCTGTATAAAAAAATCCCTTGATGTTGGTAAAAATTAAATACTACTGAAGTTGAAACAAGCTAAAAAAAATGATACAATTTAAACAAAAGCGGCACCAAATATAGCAACGTTTGCTTAAGGTTTGTACAAAACATAGCAAAATCTGGCCAAAAAATTATTTAAATTGATAAACTGAGCAATATTACTATATGATTTTTTTATATTCAAAAAAATTTAAAAAGTTGAGTAATTTCTAAAAAGATGTTAACTGTTAATCCAGTCCAGAAATGTTTTAAAAAATGAAGATAAATGTTTAATCAATGGCAAATGCTTAAAGTTAAAGTTTGTCAGAGAAATGTTTTATGGTAAATTATTGCATACGAAATAGCAAATGAATCCTCAGATTTGAGCATGTAAATATGCTGCTGTGAGCACGTTAGCTACAACAGTCCTGGTACAGACACCAGAGCTAGCTACAACAGTCT